AGTCGGTGGCAGCTCACCTGTTCTGAACCATACTCATGGCCATCCAGTCTCCAGGATACACATTTTTCCCAATGAGGTCCTTGAACATGATGAATGTCTCCATCAAGAAGTCCTGAAATGGTAAAGCAAAACATACCTGTCATATTGTTTTATAGAAACTCTCTGGAAGTGCCCAGATCTTCTTGGCTGTTTAAGTTTTTCTTTTTTATTATGTTTTGGTGAAACAGAAAGGGAAGGAACACAGTCTTTCATTAAGGAAATTCAATGAAACCAATAGCAGTGGGTTTTTAAATAGGAACTTAAAATTGGTTAGCAGGAGACTGTTCCGCAAATATAAGAAGGACATGAATATGGAATGAATGTGAAGATGCACAAAATAAAAGCTCTATTAATTCTGTCCTTGGGAGTTAAGAAATAAATGCATTCATTGATGTGGCAATTTTATAATCATCTTTCCAAATATGTATTTGAGAAGGAAATAATCTACACTATACAAAAGCATCTCAGGTCATTGAACAAACAAACTATTATTAAACTGAACATCTAATTAGTGGCACTGTAAACACAGCTAATTCATATATCACAGAAACATACATGGAAATAGAACAGGAACTCTCTTGGTAGACTTTTAAGGGGTTCAAAGTGACCTCAAGACATTTTTTTATTTTTTGCAGTAGGCCAAACCTGTTTTCTACTTTGGGGAACACAAATTTAAGACAAATTCAGATAGCAGAACCACTGGTGCTGAGATCCTCCTGAGCTGAAGGAAATGAAGTCAGACCACCGGGATGCTTTAGGTAAAATTTGAAATCTATAGGAGACAATTCAGAGCTCTTCCCTAACCCAGTGGTTTTCAAATTATTTTAACTGCAGAATTTCTTGTTCTAAGAAAAACTGGAACCTAGAATATAAAATAGATAAAAGTGTAGTATGTCTGGTTGAAATGTGTGTGTAGGTATGCTGCAGGATAGTGAGGCTGGGAGAAATAGAATTTGAAAATCACTGCTTTACACTAAATTGCAAAATACTTGAAATGGGATTGGTTCTTTTTGAGCAATCTTTGCTTCTAGGGGAAATTATCTCAGGGCTTTCAGTCCTGTTTTCCACAACAGCAGAATTGGGATAGCATTCACCTCCAAGAATTACTATGAGGACAAAGTGACACTGAATAAGATGTTTCACAGAGTCAGGCCTGTTGTAAGTGCTCTTTCATGCTCGATGATGATGATGTTATGATTCTTCATCCTTGATGTCATCTGGGAAAGTATGGTTATTGGTACAGGCTCATTCCCTTCCAGTGGTAAAGGTGAAAGTCTCTGGCTTATAAATGAAAAACCTGGCTTCTGGAATGAGCAGATGTAACATGGTGAGGAGTAGAGCAGAGGCTTAAATCCAAAGGAGGTTCAGAAGCCAACTTCCTTGATGCATTTGTTGTCAAATTATAACAGCAAATGCATCACTTAATGGTGGGTTACGTTCTGAGCAATGCCCTCTTAGGTGATTTCATTATTGTGTAAACATCATAGCATGTATTACACAAACCTAGGTGATTTAGCCTACTACACATTGTGGGCGATCTGGTATAGACCATTGGGACCATCAACACATATGCCATCCATTTTTAACTGAACCATCATTAAGCAACACAGAACTTTATTAACTACCTTTTACTAGTCACCTAATATGTGAGTGCTACTTTACTTTTATTTAACCCCTTTACAACTCTGTTACATAAATAACATTGTCTCCACTTTACATATGGAGACTATAAGGTTTTATAGAAGTTAGCTTTCCTGTGGTCCCACAGCTGGGAATTAGTTCTGGACTGAAACCCAAGACTGTGTGGCTCCAATATTCACTCTCTCAAGTCCCCAAATGCCCATGATTCATCAACAAATATTTGTTTGGGCATATTTAGGCTAGACATTCATATCTTATCTCTGACATGGGCTCAGGTTATGTTCCAGGAATGACATATACAAGCCTAAATGGGGATGAGACCAGGGAATCACACATCATGTTGTAAAGGTAGGCACACATATACTTGAGGTCTGTGGGGAGACTTTTGAGAATTGAGAATGAGACACTTCCCCCCTACACTGGTCCTGGGCATCCTACAGACTCACCACAAGTTCAGAGCTGGTCTGGAAGGTCTCAATATAGAAGGAATAGTGCTGGTCACCCATCTGGTTAAGGATGGCTGTCATACATGCCACAAAGTGACTCTGCAAGAAACAAGAAAAATGTTATGAAATAGTGGAGAAAGGACCATAGGCTTCATCTCATTTTCTTGACTTCAGGCTAGAAAACACTCCAAGCACCCTTGGTATAAAGAAAAAGCCTTTAGGGGTAGAGAATCTCTCTAACTGAACACTGTATGAAACAGTCCCAAAAGAAATGCTTCCTTATGGCTCATCCATGGGCTCATTCTTCTGAAAAGCATTTATTGAGCATGTATTATACACCTGAAACTATAAGAGAGGCTCCAGATGTAGGAAATAGAACCTGATTCATTACCTCTCAGGCACTTTGGGAAAAGAACATTGTTTAGTAGCAGGAGCTTAATACTATATCAAGACCCTGGAAACAGTTTGATTGTCACTACACCAATATTAAGAGTAGTGACAACAGGACAGGTCTCTCTACCTGCCTCACCAGATGGGCATCCCTATCTTGCATTTAACAAGTTGGTTTGTTTAACAAGTTTGTCTTCTTGTATCCTAAGGAAAAGAAAGAACATTCCTAAGAAGATAATATGGAAATTAAACACCAAGGGGTTAACAAAGCAAAGCTGGTGCCTACCCTTGCCAATCTCCCCTTTTTTCACTCCTTTGTATAAAAACCCCTGTCCTCTGCCAAAGAGCAAGACCATGGTCTTTCAGACACAAGTATGTTGCCCTCTTCATCTTGTCAACCAATTAAACTACTTTCCTTCTCCTCAAACTGTTTCCATTTTATTTTATTTTTTTTTAAAGATTTATTTTTATTTTATTTATACAAGCACTGGGTGCAGTCAGAAACATGGGAGGGTGAGAGGATTCACCAGAGCCAGAGCAGGGAACAGAACAAGCAGACTGACAAAACACACTGCTGAGGGGAACAGTGGATGTGGCAGGAGAGGTCTTTCGCGCCATGTGGGACCCTCGCCAGCGGCAGGGGATCGAACCAGCGCTGCAGAGTCTGCGGGTAGCTTCGCAGCCCAGCGCTCAACTGCTGTGCCACTGGGGAGGCCCACAAACTGTTTCCGTTTATTGGTTGAGAGAAACTGAGACTGGTGTTTGGTATCATAAGTACCAAGTGTTTCATCTGTAAAATGGGACAATACTCCATCCATATCTACCCTCCAGAGGTGTTTCAAAAGGATCAAATGGCGTGGCTCCTATAGCATGAACGCACTGAAGTTCTCTGCAGAGCAATCAGTTGTTGGACCACTGATCCAATAGTGAAAAGGGAACAGCTTACTGGGTCAGCATTGGTTCTGAGTCAAGGGGAATAAAAGAAATGAGAAGAGGTTGTTCTTGTTCATTAGCAGTTCATGATGTAGTTGGGAAAGCAAGATTAATATTCATGAGTGAAGAAAGTACAAACTCTTGGTTTGTGAAGTTGACCAAGTGCCAGAAGGAGTCATACAAGAGGGAAATCAATATAGCACCGTGGAGAGGAGGTGGGTCTAGAAGGATTCCTGGGTCTAAAGGAGTAAGAACTACATCCTTTTATGCCCTGGACTATATCATCACAATCTTGTGCTTTCTTGTTTGCATATTTTATAGTCTGTGTCAGGTCATGTTTTTGTTTGGGTTAGTTTTTAAAAGCAGCATGCAAGGAGATGTACTCAGGAAACCTGATAAAGGAAGCACTGACCATGAACCCTCGGCAGTGATTGGGGGAGAGCATGGGGTGGATAAACAACTTGAGATTGTCTCCTGCAAGATTCCTCTGGGGTTGCCATCTTGGCCCAGGTAAGCTCCCGGGCAGACATGTGGAAGGTCACCTACTTGGTGCGATCCAGGGAATCCCACGGCTAAAGAGTGTTGGATATAACATATACCAGAAAGGTGGAACCAAGAAAATGGGTTTAGCATCACAATCAATCTTTGGTTAAAAAAAAAAACCAAAACAAAACTTCCTTTGTTAAATAAAAAAGTATAATGAATATGAAAAGTAAATCCTCCCAGGTTTCAGGTTTGTAGTTTAATTACAGAGATGTACAAACAGTCTTAATATCCCTAGAATGCCTCTTCCACATTTTACAGGAATGGGTAATCGCATGTTCCCCAAATCCACATCCCCAAAAGTAGAGCCCAAAGATACAGATTGTCATTTGCATCTAGGTTATTGGCTCTGTAATTTGTGGGGCTCAGAATGAAATGAAAATGCAGAGTCCTTGTTAAAAACAAATTCAGAATTTTAAGACAGTTAAGGGGTCCTTCTACACACAGGTCACCTGCCCAGGAAGCCAGTCCTGCCTGCCATGAGCAGTATACTCAGAAATGTTTAGAAAGCATGCACAGCTGGCACAGAGCATAGAGCTAGGACTCTCAGGGACAACAGTGTTGGACCTGTCCTATGGAGACCTGGGACCTCCACATTGGGGTGAATCTCCTTGGCCATCCAGGTGGTTAAATATCCTGTCCTGTTCAGGTGCCCAGGATTGGTGGTGAGTCTGTGAAAATGTCTGTCCCTTTCAGAGTACGCTGTCCCTGACAAAGTACCAACCACCATCACTGCTAACTTAATCAGATCCCACTTCAACCAAGAAATTAGTGTCACTACTACTCATCTATCCAGTCAGGCTGGATGCAAGAAAGGAGAAATCTTAATCTGAGATGTGTTGGAGTGTGTATTTGTGTGCGCACGTGTGTGCATGTGCACACACACAAGCTGTGTTTCCTCTACTCCCTCCATCTCTTCTTTCCCTTAAAGAATTCAGCCTGTGGCCACTAGAGGTCTTTGCTTTTCACATGGTAGCTGCCGTGCAGTTTGTTCGGCTTTTTATTTATTCCTACGTGAGCAGACCCACTACACTTCTCGCATATAAACAGTGAAAATTACAACATAAAGGACTTATTATTCCTTCTTTTGGAGTAATTCTGCTGCTGACCAAAGGCTGACTCGGTTAGCAAGAGAAGGGAGCTCACCCTCTGCAGGTAATTTCACTGCTTCAAGGTAAGAGATTTGGGTAGGTTTTATTTTTTGTGATTGGTGATCCTCTAGGAGGAAATATTATCGTCTCTTGGACAATAGTTTACTTTTAAAGCTTTGGCTTAAATGACTACTGGGATTGTGAGTGTGCATGCATGTGTGTGTGTGTGTGTGTGTGTGTGTTAGAAAATCCACCATTGTCAGAACTGCAGACTGCCCCAAATGCATAGATATGAATGCTTGTTGTTTCCTATGGCTTGATTTGAATTTGAAGAGGGTGAGGGGGGAGGCAAATACCAAACCCCAGAGCTCAAGTTGCCTAGAATTATCTTAAAGGGGCTTCATTGTCTTAAGACTGCTTTAGAGAAACTTCTACCCTCCATTGTAAGAGAAAATAAAAAGGGGAAGGGGTGTCAAGTCCCAAAGTAGAGAGTGACCATTTTATGAAAGAATCATTATCTTTTTATAAGGAGTTGCTCAAGGCATTACAGTCCACTTGTCAATCAAAATCACTTTCACCAGCTGGTTCATTTCTTTTAACAAACTCAGAAAAATCCAACTGAGTGTCTTGCAGTACGGTTTGTAGTGCTATGTGACTGAAGTTTGGACCAGTTACCTGCATTTGGCTGTTGATAAAAAATGACAGTGTTTTACTTCGGTAAAATAGAAGCCCCTTTTTGTACTATGGTGTCTAGCCCACTTTAGTATCCAACCTGTCAGAAATACACCCATGTGACTGACTGATTTGTGAAATGGCATCAGAAAAGGCTTCTCTCTGTTATTTAAACTTAAAGAACAAACAAACCAAACTAAAAACCTCTTTGTCACACAATGACAAGATGGAACAACAGTATGCTTCTCTGACATTTATCCTTTTTCAGTACTATCTTCAAAATGGCAATCTACCTTTTTGCCTCCTGCCCTCTTCCCTACGCACAAGTTTAAAGACCTTACTTTTGTGTCTATCATGTCTTAAATGTTTAGAAAGGGATCTAGGAATGGGGGGTGGGATGATCCTACTGCATTTTCCCTAGCAACTCAGATACTCTTAATATTGGTGTTATCCAAACTTTATAGTATGGGAGCCCAAACTCCCAGCTCTACCAGCATCATGGAAAAACCTGAATACTGCATGGGGGAAGAGTAGGCTAAAGAGATCCCCTGCAGTCCAGGCTAGTGAGAATCCCTCTCTTCAGAGCCCTGGAAGAAATTTTATAGTCGACACAGATTTACTACCAAGGCATGAGGCAGTCACTCATCCATCCCCAAGCCACATGCCAGGTGCCTGAAAGGGAAATCGCCTCTTAAAACAGAATACCAGGGGACTGGCATATTAAATTCCAGAGAGAAATTGTATCTCTGAGACGCTGGCACAAACCAGGCAGAGTCACCTCCGTTCCATTTGGGGTGGTTTAAAATGTAGCTAATGAATCACAGCATGAAGAGACATGGTTTGAAACTAGGTCAAACGTGTAAAAATAAGTGCAATCATTACAGGCACTTGGCTGATGAGGGGCTACTTAACGCCGTGAGTGGCAGGGCTTATTCGCCGTATAGAACTCTCTTCAGTGATCCACGAAAATCAATCCTCTTAATTAATTCAACCTATCAGTATGTAGGGAGGGTCTTGCCCACCTGGAAGAGAGCTGAAGTTCTAAGGGACAATTGTCAGGTTCTCTTCTCTGGAAATGACAAGAGAGAAAACAAGAAACCCAGTATTGCGTGATTGCAATTAATTAGCTGGGATACTATGTGATTGCCACCAGGAGAGAACCCCATCCCAATTTTTCTACTCCTTTGTATAAAAAAAAAAATCCTTATGTTGTGCTCAACATTCAATTTAAACATATCTATTTAATGCTTCTAATGCACACACACACATATACAAACACACACACACACATACACACAGAGTCAGGACTTATGCAGTGCTGCATGGACTAGGAAGAGGATATCAATTTGTTCTGCCTTGGAGAACAAACGAAACAGGGGAGAGGGCATAGGCACTGCAGATGTGCCCCCCACCTGAGATTAGTGGGAGAGATAGATCGCAGAGAGAGGGAAACAACCAACTTCGGGAGCTAGCTACCTAAATGCCAACATTACTATGCGATACCAGCCGGTGACACGTTGCTATAGAAACTTCAAATAATGTGCACGACCAAAATAAAATAAAATATAGAAAGCACCAAGGAGGAGATGAAGGAAAAGTTTGCATGCTGAGGGAGGCTCATGAGGACATGGAAAGTTTTATCCGTTGGTTCGTCTATTTCCCTTGGAGACTAAGAGTGTGGCCCAAATGCCACTTTCCATTGCTTCTCCATTCACCTCCATGTCTGCCATGCAGTTATATAACAGATTTTATTCTTGGATGGAATTGGCACTGTTGGTGTGGTGGATCCAGGACTGAAGGTAGGAGGCTGTGGTGTCAGGCAAAACAGGCGACTCACGACTCTGACCCCTTCATCTTAGAGCTTTGTCAAGCACCGCAGAGTTGCCGCTTGCATCAAATCTTTGGGGAAACAAGGGTGTGCGATTTGTCTTAACGACCCTCTAGTCCGGGACATTGTACTCTGTGCCACGGGTGCAGTGGTGAGCAGGATGGATAAAGCGGTGCTCCAAAGAGCTTAAATCTGCTTCTGCCAGGATGCAGAGTGTAAGTGTCTGGGCCTAGGAGCAAGCTGGCCTCATTCAAGTCTCAGCTCCAACTCTTACTAGTCATGGCACCTTGGGCAGATCCTTGAGCTTCCCTTTCCTTATCTGTAAATGGGGATAGAAATAGTCCTTACTTCATAAGGTTTTGGTAAGAATTAAAGCAATTCATGTCAAGAACTTGGAATACAGAAGGTCTTCAATAATCATTAGCCATAATTTTAGTTGTTGTTGCTGACTTTGGTCAGCAATTGAGAAATCTATGCAGAATCTAATCTGGAAAACTACGCAGATTAGCATTTGAAATTCCTGCCTTGAAATTCTTCACTCTACCTGCCTGTATGGCTACATTAATCACTGCTTGGGACAAACAGCAGAGTGTCCTTTCACTCTGCTGAGCCTTTGCTTAACAACATGGCCAAAGTCCAGCTGGTTAGTAAGTGGAGTGTGTGCTTCTTGGAGCAGGGCATGTTGGGAGGTTTCTTTCATTCAGGGACAGCTGCTGGCAGGTAGGAAGAGTGACAACAGTGCCCGAATTGTTCAAAAGCATGAAATACAACTGTCTTCAACCAAAATGTGGTTTCCCAGTTATTTGGCTTTCAGGGGTACCTGTCATTGTGTGCAGTAACATTCTTTGGTTCCCCAGGGATCCTGCTATGTGATAGAGTTTACCAAGTCACCTTCCTTCAGGGGGAAATTTCTTGACGGGCAGATCTGGGGGCTCATGTGACCTACTCCCTGCCAAAAGCATAACATCATGGGAAGGCAGAACGGTGCCACTTGCCAGCTGTGCACTCTGGATGTGCCCTGACACATTACCTCTACACAACGCCGCACCCCTGTCTGGCACAGTGGACAGTGAGGATGGGTCAGCTCTCCAGCATCCATAGGGCCAGAGTCACAGGCATAGTATTTCCTTAGAGAGTTATTCTGACTGACAAGGAGAAGCAGAGATAGGTAACAAGGCAGCTTTGAATGGAGGCTGGAAGGAGAGCCTGAATTGGTCACACACTTCTTTCAAACTAACACCTTCTGATTCTGGTTGGAGCCTGTGCTTGTGATTCTGTAGTGTGAGGTCCTTTAAAGCTTCCAAAGGACACAAAGGTAACATTTCATCCCTCGGGGAGGTGGCAGACAAGCAAATCCCATTTATCCATTCCTTGTGCCCAGGATGTTACATTGATCATCTCACTGAATTGTCTGAACAACCTTCTGAACATTATGGTCATTTTATAGATTAGGGAAGTGAGATGCATGGAGGTCAAACAGCTTGTCTTGACAGATATTTAGCATGTGGTGGGAAAGAAATTAAAATCTGGATCTTTCAGACTCTAAAACATGTGTTTTATTCATATACCCACACTGTTTCCCATGTCAACACTGTCAGGTACACCTTGGTAGATATTTTTGTCCATTTATTCACTGCTGTATTACCAGAAGATAGAATTGGATTTGCATATAGTCTGGGTTCAATAAATATTTGTTGGATGAGAGATTGAATTTATTATAGTATTCCTCATCTCAAAAAGACTGTCACAGCCTGCCCACTATGCCTAACTCGCAAAGTCTTAGAAGAGGGTCATATATAGACAATCTTTGCCTTAGGAAAGGTCAGGAATGAAAGAATTTTTATTCTATTTTGAGTGTACTCCATCATAAATTAATTTGATCAAGCTAGAGTGATCTGCGTAATCACACATTCGTTAAGTCAACAAGTATTTCTTGAACACCTCCTGTGCTCCAGGCACAGTTCTGTTAGGGACACACCCATGAATGAGGCCAACAAGGACTTTTTTCTTAAGGAAGTCATTAAGCTCCTTAAGAGGGCCAGAGATGGGGCAACATACCCCATCAACATATATAAGTGAATACCTACATAAGATCACTTCAGGCAGTGATATCTGGTACTAATGAAATATTACCAGGCAATGAGACAGAGATGGAGTGGAAAGGGACCTATTTCCAATAGGGAGACAAAGGTGTTCTGTAAGAGAGCTGACATTGGACTGGAGATATGAATGATGAGAGCTGGTCATGCAAAAATCTGGCAGAACAACATTCAGGGCATTTGAATAGTGGATGCAAAGGCCCTGAGGTGGAATGCACTTTGAGTGTTAGAGAAACAGAAAGAAGGCCATCAAGGTTGGAGGGTACAAGACAAGGGAGGGCACAGTGTCAGATGAGGTGAGAGGGATCTAGGGGGTCAGGAGTGAGAGTTTGGACTTTCTTCCATGTGCAAAGGGAGGTCACTGGTTTGGATTTTGAGAAACCATCTCTGGATGATGTTTGTTTCCAGAACCCCTCCTTAGAGAGAAAGTTTGTATGTCTTTTCACACCAGCTCATCTCTAAGGGACTCACTAGAGTGGTTCAC